AATGCCGTGTTGAAATAGATGCCAAGATCCCATTGGTTCCTAAGCATCAACTCATAGTACCTTCAACCTTATTGGCTCTTGCAACAAACATCCCAACATACAAAGCCACAAAGCCACAAAGATACATACGCTCACACCACTGACATATAAGCTATTTTTTCAAAATAGCTCAAAAAAGCATATCACATACGAACGTTAGGAGCTAACCTGGCCAAACATTCCAATGTACTGGCCATCCAGTGTCCAGAGCCTGGCCGTGCAGTCCTTAGAAGCAGATAATAATAAAGCACCTTGACTCCGCGACAGATATTCCACACTAACCACTGAGTCTTGGTGCCCATACCAGCTAGTGAGCTGTGGAGGTTTGCCTTCTGGGTTATCATCCGGGTTACCTGCAGCACGCTGAGTTGTTGACCACACCTAAACAACACACAGAAAATATCGAAGCTGCTATAATGGCTCCCCCTTCATATATTATTAAGGTATATGTACAAATATTTAAAATAAAATACCGGTAACCATAATTCTTACCTAAATAGCACATTTATCAGTAAAATATTCAAGGAATAAAAAAACGATGGATTGAGTCGTATTATGCATCGAATGTAAGAAAACGTTCGAATGCGGCGTATTGAAAATATTTTCTCAAAGCACAGTTCTTTTGAATCAATTATCTTATTAAACTGGTTAAATTAAGGCACTAATAATACATATTAGTATATAAACACTCAGTGATCTTGGTAATTCAAGCAATCTGATTGGTTCGCTATCTCGGACTATGACGTTTAATTAAGCAATAGACCACACTTTCTATGGGTTTACCGGCGTGACAACCCACGCGGGATGTTGGGAGAACACGAGAAAAGCTTGTAAATGACGAGCCGAAGGCGAGTGATTTACAAGCTTTCCGAGTGTTCTCCCACCATCCTAAGTGGGTTATCACGGCGGTAAACCCATAGAAAGAATGGTCTATTGCTTTTATAAATTAACCTGAAGTTTTCTGTGAGTTTACCGGCACAATACACCATAGGTTTTTAACCAATCAGAACGCGCGTACTATCTTAGTTATTTTATAACTATTCACCGCGTGAATATAAAGCAAAAGTAAATCGCTGTCGTGAACTGGGTGTTCTGCCACGTTTCAAAGTAAGAACTTTTTTAAAATACAAGAATATCCCAGAGTTGATGATTTTGAAGGTAAGAAAAGACGTCATGGTGTTTAAACAGCGTGATTTTATTGCGAAGTGATTTACTGTAGTTGACTTTCATACGCTCGAAGCAATGTTTTTATTGACCACTACAAAGGAAAAGGAGGCCGCTTTGTGACTGTTTTGTGAACTCTGGATTTCCTCGCAAAACCAATTTTGCCTGGAAATAGAAGTTAATTTATCGAGAAAAAAGGGAAAGCAAAGTTAACATGGCAAGGAACACGGCACTGTAGATAAACAACGCGCACCTCGATCGTAGCCGCTGTTGACAGCATTTGCAAAGAAGCGACAAAAAACTGTCTCATTCACGGTGAGTTGACAGAAGCAAATAAAGCTCTGTGTTTCTTCTCAGAAAGGGGAGTTATTTAAACTTTCAACGTTTTCTTTTCAATCATTGATGCTAAAGCTTACAAAAAAATTAAAACTATAATTTGCCATGTTTGAAAACACTGTAAAGATTCAACTGTTGTGCATCTGCTGTTTACGACTACATGTTCACGCATGAATTCACCCGTGAATCATACTAATCGTTTTCCTCATGGTTTCCTTTCTGATTCTGTTGACATCACTTCTTGTGTATATACTAAAACAATTATTCACCTCAGGCTCAGTTAATATTTAACAATCAATGAACGAGGCTGAGTATCTTATTAATAATTATGGGGATCGAGGAGAGTGTTATCCGTCGAGGCCGTAAGCCGAGGCGGATAACACCCTACTCGATCTCCATAATTATTCATATGATACGAAAGCCGAATTAAATAACCAAGACCACTGATGGTCTTGAAAATAATTATTTATTGATTGAGGCGAAGAAATGATTAATATACCTTCAGCTATGGAATTTTTGTCGGTCTTGAGATTGCCATCGACTTTGCATGGAAGACATAGATTGTTTTAATTTCTTGTCGTTAGGAAGCACTCTCTTCACAGCTCTCCAGAAACGATTAAGTCTTTCCTCTCTTACCATGCATAACCAAACAATTTCCAACCTTTAATATGGGATGGCTGAAACACTGATGTCGACATACCAGTCAAAAAAAGATTCAACTTACTTGAGCAATGATAGATTCCGCTCTTGAGATGCAATATGAACTGATGTCCCACACAGTTATGTGCCCACTTGAGTCTCCAGTAATCAATATCTCGTTAGAAGGATCTGTTGCTAAAGCAAGAACGTTGCTATCTTCATCAGTGGCGGCCGTGAATCTACCTGCAAAAAGCATCACAATACAGTGTATTTAGGCCCACTAAAAACAGCGTGCAACGACTTTTTAGTTTACTAATTTCTTTCCCGCAGTACCGTAAATTACGAACCCAGGAACTATTGACATTTAAAGTGCACAGTTTTCTTTTCATTTGAGCTAACATATCTGGCCCCAGTTGTTCACAATCTCTCTACAGTGAATAACACAATTAATTTCTCTTATATTCATCCGATTGATAGTTATACAGCTGTTTCAAAAAACGGGGCCACTTTGCGTATGTCCCAGAGAACAGTGTGAAACGTTATATGAGAGATTCCTAAACTCTGGACTGAAACTTTGAAGCCACAAGATACGACGGCGAAGGGAACGACAGCGGCAAAAATCAAAATGTTTAGAATAGCAAAATAACAACTTTGCACGCTTTTAAAATATCTTTGACCATTGTTACGCGATTACGGCATGCTAATAAGCTGAAGAAGATTGCTCTGCAAAGACTGGGACAAGCGAAGGTGTCCTTCTGCTGAAACTTATTCACTTCTCTCTCTTTTTTAAAGATAACTATGGTTTGTATAAATGATGAATAAAAAATCAGTGGCTATTTTTTTCTCCCAAAACACGGATTTGAAACTACCCTCATTACCTTGGGGTCTCGGCTTTAGACTTTTTGGTTTTCTTCCGACAACGTTTTTTGAAATAACTGTATATCCTGTGAATAATTCTATCTAACGTTTGAACAACCGGGGCCAGAAGGATAAACGCTGACCACAACAGGTCACGTGTACAAGACCTACTTACCCATGGGTCTGTTCGGACCGTACAAACACCAGAACTCGAGCATTCCAGCCTCCGATGACACAAGAATAGCACTCTCTTGAGACTTCCACTGAGCCCTTGATGTAAGAAATAACAACTTGTCTACCGGTGAGCCATAGTTACTACCTCTGTAGAAATTACATATGTTGAAGTAAGCTTACCAGCTTGTTGAGAAAGGAAAAAAAATGAAAATATGTGAAGGAAAATCACCAGTTACCAGTAAGAAAAAATGATATCTTACAGGTTTTTCCTGTTTTGTAGAAGTCCGAGCTTCTTTACCTTAGCTTTTCTGTCGAAAAAAAAAAAGAGGAAATTCGCTTACAACCTAACGAACAGCAAAACAAGTATCCATCAACAGATAAAAACTGAAAAATAGTTGGGCATTTTCTTTACCGTGCCAACGTAGAAGTCCGCACTAAGCTTTTAAAAGTTCCAGGGCAAACTGGTTTCGCAAATAAGGGTATCATTACAGTTCGTTCCCACGGCCGAGGTGCAAATTCTTCGCAAAACCGCTGCCCGAGCTCACTTCGTAGTCATAAACAAAGGTGTTCGACAGTTCTACTTGAGCTCTGATACAAGCTAGTTTATAACCCCAATACTTGTTTTTTGAATTAGAAGCAACGCACAACAGTAAAAGCCGACGAGGATGCATTGCAATACATAAAAATGTGTGTAGCAGGAGTTTAAGCCGAAACTGCTGAACGATATTTCAAAAATGTCGAGGAACTAGTCATTTGACTTCAAAGCAAGGTTTGGAGCACTGGATTTAATGAGCTTCTAAAACTAAAGAGTACTTCTCAAAGAATAGCACGATTGGCAATCGGCTTCGTTTTAAGAATCAGCAAACATTAGAATTACTTGTCGCGAAAATTCGAATTGGTGGCTCGTCCTTACCCAGTGCAATTCGTTTTCGAAATTCCAAAACAATTTCACAGCTGATTTCGAAGGACTTTCCAGTTGCAGAGATCTGTTCCAACGATTTCTCCGAATTATTTATATGGCGTATTGATCATATCAATAAAAACCGATACCAAAATTTCATTAAAAAATATAAGAAAATTTTTTTACGACGCATGAATTTCTATAATTTCGTAAAAAAAAGAAATGTTTACCACACCAGTAAAATCGGACTATTTCATATTAATGGTGAACGACATCTGTAGTTCTTTCCAAGGTTTCGTAGGCATCGGGTTAAAACAAACAAAAGTTATGACGAAAAGTTCATCATACATGTAGCTCAATGCGCCTTTATTAATAACGGAGCCACCTTAACAAAGAAAAAAGAAAATAAACGTCAAAATAAAAGCAGCTCATTTCCACTTACAACAAGCTGCCCGAGCCTTTCTTCAGCCTGCGAATCATTTTTTCCCGGTCCAAACTCCAAAGAATGATGTCGCCGTCAAAACTGGCCGTGGCAAGGTAGTTTGGTGGACAGAAAGCAGCCGTTAAAATGTCATCCTGTTGACACAACAGCAAAAAAAAAATGCAAACAAGCCACACAAATAAGCGCGTTCTATAGTGAAAGGCTGAACCTTGTTTTTTACTTTAAAATACTTACTTGTAGAACATGACACTGGCACGGGTAGATTTGAAGTACATTTTCCGACAAGTTAAGTGAACACCAATTCATTGACGAGAAGTTGATAAAATGTTTTTCAGCTGCAACTGAGTTTCCATCTTACAAATAATTATGTTGTGGGTAAAATCCCGCGTTCTCAGGTTAATCTAGTATTCAACCTACAGGGTAAGCTTATTGCTTGGGTTCTCACCGTTGTGACCAAGATTGAAAGCTCATATAACCTGGGAAGGATTTTCCCATCAAAATACACACTCTGACCTGATGTAACTGTCCGCCCTTCCAGTCAACATTGGGCCTGAGGCAGAAAGTCTAAAAACGCAAAGAAAGGCGGTTATAATACTGGACCTTCTTTACTAAACCTGAACACTGAACTCACAAAACTCGCATCCTCAAAACAAATAACAAGCAGTTATCGGATGAGGTTTTTGTGATTTCCGCAATAATCAAGTAAGTATTATCAGCCGAGCCGAAGGCCGAGGCTGATTTTCAGGATATCACAAAAACCGAATCCAATAATTGTTTCAAGAAAATAACGACAAACACACCGTCGCACGAAGCGCAGTTTGACAATGCCAGGAAATCATACATTGCGAGCTCAACCTACAGATTAGTCAGTTAACTTCTAGCGGATAACTGACTAATCTGTAGGTTGCGCTGATTTTCAAAACTCGCTGTAGGATCTTAGCAAGTGAGAAGACAAATAATGAGTACAATTACACGGGTTCAGTATGCAGTTTGGAGGCAGCGTGGCCGCCGAGTGGTAAGCACCGGTTGGATTCGTAATCTACCGGTTTTGAGTCTGACTTGAAAAAACGATGTGCTAACCTGGTTGTCGTCGTAGTAGACAAGAATCTTACGGTTCCATCCCACTGTTATAATCTTACTCTTGTCAGGGAGCGAAATAATTCCTGTTACCTCGTTTTCGTCAACAGGTTCAAGTTTATTGAGCAAGTGACCATTGTTTGCATTCCAAACCTGCGCACAACATAAAACAACACACGAAACGTGAAAAGGAAATAAGAGAGCATCAGGTTCTTATTGTAACACATTAGTTTACAGGAAGACTCAGTTTTAGTGTGACTACTCACTGTTCCGGAGCTGCATACATATGCCGCGGCGGTATGAACCAAGCGTGAGCGGGTCAAGATGCCTGGATACTGGCCAAATCTTTCTTTGTGTTTTCATGGACCGAAATAAAGTCATCATCACCGAACAAGCTTGATCAATAAAGCTTTAGTTATATCGCCAAACAGAGAACTTTTTCTGGCGACACCCACGCTAGCGATGCACCCATCTTGCCCGCTCGGCTGGCGGAACAAAACACAACTCGCGGATTCAGAAATATAATAAAGTTTAATACTTTGATCTCATGTGGATGTCCTAACAGTGAAGCCAGCAATCTAATAAAGTTTAGTACGTTGATCTTACATGTATGTGAATGTCCTAACAGTGAAACCAGCAATCTAATAAAGTTTAGTACATTGATCTTAAGTGAATGTCCTAACAGTGAAGCCAATTGTAAGCGTTAGTGACTCACGTGAATATTGCCGGTCCTGTCTCCGGTCATGAGGCGGCGGCCTGTAGGGTCCATTGACATGCAAGAGATTTCCTCTGTCCCATGAGCCTCTGTGACATGCTGTGCCTGACGCCCCGTTTTCAAGTCCCAGAAGGTGACGACTGAGCCCTCGCATCCAGTGATCACCTGAAATGAGTACAAAACGGATTAATTACACTACATTTCAATATATAAAAGTATAACATAAAAGTAGCTAAGAGAAGAACATTCAGTCTCAAATTATACGTGGAATAGCCTTCCGTTCCTTATCATATAAATAAGAAACCTCAGTAGCACCAGCAGGGTTATCATGATTAGACGCTCTCTATAACAGCTTGTCCAAAGAATTCAGATTACTTACAAGCAGCTGAGCCTGCAAGCAAGACGCGGTCTCAGAGATAGGTCACATTAAACCCCTCCTAGTGATCCCAAGAGGTAGTCATTACCTGTTCCATGCTTGGGTTAAAAAGCGCCGCACACAAAGGTTTCCAGTGAGTTGTTTTGGTGCGGGTTTTATTAGCAGCATTCATAGCTGAGATCTTGATCTCTGCTAAGCAGTCATTACTGCTAATAAACAGCGAGTTGATGATGGGCGACGTCAAAAGAAGAAATGGAAATGGCCCATGTTCTGGAATTCTGTGTCCAAATGGAAACCTTATTCCGATTGTCTGAAGACATACGTGTTCCTTGATATCCCACGCCTTCAAAACCTAGAGTGGTCAGAGCAAAAAAAAAATGTTACCTCATCTCAGCAGCAACTTATTTCTAGCTCTTATTTAATCCTATGCTGACCGGCGTCCCCGGTGGTAACCTCTTTTTTAGGATCTATGTACTCATCCTCCACCACATGCCGGACGGGAGATACCTAAAAGCAACTACTGGTTAAACCTGGGGACCCCACCCCAGCAGGAAACAATGTAAGGTAAGGTAATGGCGCACACGAACCAAAGGCCCAAACGGCCAGAGCTTATACCGGTTTCCGTAGCATGAAGCACCTAGGAGTATTGCTACTCCCCCCTGGACGGGATGCTAGTCCATCGCATAATTACCCCAGCCCATTTATACACCTGGGTGAAGAGAGGCAAAGTGAAGTAGAGTTCCTTGTCTAAGGAAACAACGCGACGGGCGAGGTTTGAGCCCCGGACCTTCAGATCCGGAGTTCAGGGTTTTAACCACTCGGCCACACACGCCCCCTTAAACAATGTGGGGCAGGGATATTGATACTGTGCGGAATCTGCAAAGCCCAACTTCACGCAGTGAAGAAGTTAAGCATTGACTAAAAGAAAAGTGTTGCTGTTAGCTCGAAAAATGTTGGCAAATTTTCCAGTTTTTATACATATGCACTGATGAGCATTTGCAACACTTGCGGCAAGTACACTTGTATATATTATGTTTACGTTGTAGGTACATTTAACATCCGTAATATCCATTAAAACAGACTTTCGTTTGTCACCAATGAATAATTGAGTATTTGTTTAACCTAACAACAGATAACATGTTTATGCTTATTGTAGCATGCTTTGTAACGTTTTTGTGAACGTTTAATTACTTGGATCGAGGAAATATTTCATGCCCCAATTATCGGGCTCTGCTTACCCCATCCTTATCGTAACTAAAGACTTGTTCCAGAGCTTCATGAATTGCCAGGTCAATAATAAAAGACTGATGCCCTTTCATGATGGCCACAGGTTTAGCAGTGACATAAGGATTCCATAGACGAACTGCATGGTCCACTCCTCCTGTGCATATAACATTTAGTTCGTGACTGTAATCAAAACACTCTACACCCTGTAAAACGAAAGTAAAATTCTTCTTTTGAGTGATTTGTAAATGCGAATGTTATTTTTTACTTTTTCATAAATCTACTGCAGCTGATTAATTTACTATGTCTGTTGTGATTGGTTTATATTTTACGACACTTACTAACAAGCCAGGGTAAAAACGCGGTCACTAGGGCTGGTAAAGCCTAGAGACTAAAAACCATCTGATGTTCGGCATTTTTAATCACCTCAAAGACATTTCTTGCTTATCTTAAAAATACGGATGGAAGCCTGGATGGACCGCCTATTAAGAAACTGTCGCACCAACTCCTCTAATGGTGAAACGAAACACAAAAATTTGGTTTTCTCAACTCAGGAATAGTTGTAGCCTGTTCTGTACCTTGGCTACTTTGAAAGTGTAAGTTTTCCTCTTCTTATCGTCTATATCCCTAACCACAAGAGAGTCTTTTCCGCTACCGCTACAAGAAATAATAAACTCCTTGACTGGAATGTACTTCACCCTTCTGACCCAATCAGAATGAACCTGGCCTAAACTCTGGTATGTCACAAACCGAGAATGTGAAGACAAGTCCTGAAAAAATAAAGGCAACAAAAACAAGTTTATTAGGAATAAAGGCACTTTCAGAAGTTAAATGTCCATAAAAGAATACTAAGACTAGCGATGGACGAACTGCCTTCAGGAGGGGAAACCAGTTTACTCAGTGCACACTGACCTGTAGATAAACCTGATGGCTTCCTGATGTTTTCTTGAATGGAGTCTCAAACAGTCCTTTGAGAGGAGTTGAAAATACAAAAAACATGACAACACCATTGTCCATTCCAAGAAAAAGCCACGATTTACCAGCAGGTAGCTAAAGATAAAGAGGGCAACTTAGTAACATCATCCTTTCTTTATCAAACACTGGATACACGATAAAACTTGAATGTCTTTTGGTTAAATAAACTTGTCTGCAGTTTACTGCATTATACGAAAAGGAATTCTCCAGTTACAAAAAGGGCAGGCAGATCTCACCTTTTTGTTATAATAATAGTCAAGACAGAGGACCACATTGCCCAGAGCTGTAATGAAAATTAAAATTAAGTATCAAACTTAAGTCACTGGACCTGTGATCAATAAAAGAAAGACACTAAATTTCAAGGTGGAAAATTAAAAGAGTAACAAACAACACTGGCTTCTGCTGAGTAAATCTTCACTTGTTACACTCACCGCAAAGATGGAATTGTGATGTGTAAATTGGTGTAGACATATCATAGAAATAAATGTCTCTGTTTGTTGTAGACAAAGCCATTTTATGTACATTTGGCATGGCAACAGCATCAGTCACCCACATTTTTATATGGCGTTTATTGGTAGTTCGTTCAGCATCAGAGTTGCTGTGTTCCATTTCAATTTTCCTCTGAAGTTCCAGTTCAGTGCTCCAGACACCAATGATTCCCTCCTACACAATAATAAAACTTAAGATAAAGTACAAATAAAGAGTGGCCCAAAATTAAGCTGTGAACCAAACTAAATGACCACAAAATTCCAATACTTTAGATTAGAATACAAGTAATATAAATCACAATGGATAAAAGACGTAAAGGGATAAAGACATAATCACTGTCGTTGTTGTTATTGCTGAAAATGTGTTGCTCAGATACAATGTGACACGAGAAAACAAAAAGAGAAATGCTTGCTGACATGCTTCCAGGAAGTGTAAAAGTCAGCAGTGGAGAGAATCATATGATTGCATGAACTTAGCAACTGAGTAGATTGTTGAGCTGAAGGGACCTTTTACCTTACTGACTGTAACATATCTCATCGGGTTAAAGTCAGTCAGAAGTTTAGTTGTTGTTTCCTGAAAAAGACAAAACTAATGCATTTACACTGGTTTCATAAAAAATTGTACTCTGGATAGTATGAAACTTATGATTATGCGCAGTGCAGTATATGTACCTATTGACTGACTGGGAGGGCTGGATGGGAAAATATTGTCAGGACATATGGACCGAGCATACATGCAAATGTACGGACTGAGCGCAGTAACAGCCAAATATTTTCCCTTCTGGCTCGACCGTACTCAGCTAGTCAATAAGCAATTTTATCATATGACCGTTGTGTTGGATGTATTGTAGAAACAGCACTATAGAAAACATTATTATTATTATCATTATTACTATTACTATTATCAACAAAAGAATATTTAGTCATTAACTTAGGGCGCTTTCGATTTGTCAGAACTGACCACCCAGACCATTCCCATCAAAATGAGAATTTCACTTTTAATCATAACCATTACAATTTCCCCAAATTTGATTGGTGCATATTTAACTGCTTTATTTTTCACTAATCATTGTGTAGGGTTGATTTGGACAGTGTAATCGGACAGTTGGCTGTAATCGGACACCTGCATGCAGACAGACAGGTTAGCCAATTATATTAAGTGCACTCAGCTAAATCCACCAATCACAGGAGTTATCACAATAACCATAGCACCAACCACTTACCCTACAAAACTGGGGATTTTCCAAAATGGATGAATTTGCAAAATTCAGACAGTTTCTCCGCCAGTGATATTTCCCTAATTTTGGACTTTTGGTATTCAAATGCTCTTTTACCAAAAAAAAATGCATTTATTTTCTTAGAAATTGAAATGGTTATGATTAGTTGGTAACAGGACTTTGTGTTGTGCAACGGTCTGTAATCATAATTATGGTCATCCGATTTTGTTTATCACTCGTATGATTACAGACCGAATTCGACTCCACTCACCCCTATTAACATTATTAATCAAAAGTCTCCAGCCAGATCAGTCAAATCCTACATAGTATGCATGAAGGAGATGGTTTTTCAGCAAAAACCCTTTGGAAAAAACCGATTTCATTCCCTAACTGACTGGTCTGGCAATTGTCCAGCCGCCGCCAGTTTTGACCAATGGAAAGCGTTAATAACTATTATTATTCATTCAAAATATTTTCCCGATTCTGATTGGCTAAAAGCACACGTTTAATTCACCATAACCAGTTACTGATGACCAAATTTGGAGGAATTTTGTGTTTAACGAGGAAATGACATAAAAAATGCAGCGTTTTCAAAGGTTAAGGCACCGTTAACCGAGAAGACCTGGGGACGAGGTTGAGTTGTTTTAATTGTGAACTTGAAAAATGGCGGACATTTCACTCGTTTCAAGAGTAAGATCTAGGCGAAAAAATAGCTGAAAACATGGCAAGAACAGCAAGAAGACAACTCAAAGGGCAACATTTGCTATTTGGAGAATATTTGCGGAGCTGCACAAACCTACCTACCTAACTAGCTGCACTATCGAAGATGAACTTAACATTGATGGATCGATGGAGGTAAGCATGTTTTAGCCATGTTTTTAAACTAGGAATTATTTTGAATGAATAATAAAACAGTTATTGAATTCGGCTTTTGTATCATATGAAGAATTATGGAGATCTCGGAGGGTCTTATCCGCCTCGGCCTACGGCCTTGACGGATAACACCCTCCTCAATCTCCATAATTCTTCATAAGATACTCAGCCTCATTCATTATTGTTAAGTTGTGGCTTTTGTTAAGAGCCAACGAAAGAAAAAGAGTTTGCCTACATCACCAGTTTTAGTTCCAATGTTTATAAAACCATTTCAGCTGCTGAGGTGAGAACTTCCACTACAAGCACTCCTCGTTCATATATTTCTGCCATGCTCTTTCCCTTAAAATTGCTAATTTTATTCTTCTGCTTAGACATTTTTGAACATTAAACTTGTTGAGTTTCAAACCGCGAAAGGGAAATAACATTTATAGGTTAGCGTGAACTTGAAATAGCGAGTTGTAGTTGGTACAAGTACAGTATCGTGGCAGAGAACTATGTCAGAACTTTGAAGGTTTGTTTACAACAAAGGTCATCAAAAGCCACGTGCAACTACACCTTACATTACACTTTTCACAGCACGATCGAGAATTTTTCTGTCTGCTGCAATGCTTCGCGTGGCATTAAGCTGGCCACCTCGCAAGCTGACCGCCTTTGCTCGGCTTGCTCGTTGGCAATAAGAATGTAATTCTTGTCAAGAACTTTACAAAATATCAGGCTTACTTTTAGCTTTACTGACTGACGTTACTGTGTACTGTTACTATAAACCGTTTACTAAACCAAACATTTAATTCTTATATGATACATGAAGTGAAATACAGTTGAAAGACAAGCAATGTTCATTTCAGACTATACCTTGTTATGATCTATCCTTACAATGTTCGGCTTAGGAACAAAAGTATTGCCAGAAACTTTACTGGCCTGGTCATTCTCTTCAAACTGCAACATGAGATAAGTACAGAATTCATCCCAGTCTACCAAACCATCAGATGCAATATCTACCTGCAAAATACAAGAATAATAACAACTTAATAAGTAACATAAGAAATCAGTCAATAGGGTTTACTCTAAGTACATGTACAAAAGACAAAGATTGTTTACATCTATTGAGCTGACAACAGTTAAGGTGCCAGAACCTCTACATATATGAGTGGTGTACAAGGTTCAGTGAGATTATTCAATGTTACAAGGACTGCCGAAAAAAGACATACAGCCAGAAAGGACAAATAGAAAAAAATCTATTATTGACAGGGGAATTGCAATACAAAATGATGGCTTTCAAAAGCAATTTCTGGTTCAATGAAAGACCACCAACAAATAAAGTGTCTTTGATTGAGTACACAATAAATTACCTTTTTGAATAATGTTTCTATTTCCTTATCAAACACTGCCACCTTATGATCATCCCAAGTTTCTATGGCTAATAAATCAGCCAGCATTTCATGAAATTCCTCAAGTGTCATGAGACCTGCAGAATGAAACCTGGACTGGTCCCTGAAAACTGATCCCCTGCGTGACAGCCATGCCTTAAGTGCTGCTTTATCTGGGATATGTGTCATAAACTTGAACATAAGACTTTCAAGATGATGAATGTCCAATTCCTCTTCCAAACGAAGGGGCTCCAAAGCTTTCCCATTGCTAAAAATAATTATAGAGTGCACACAATATCAATGACTTAATCACTTAATTGATAAATAACATAAAATTGTCAGGTGCTCATACTATAATATTTGTAGGTAAAATCCACAATCTATTCTTAGGCTAAATATTCAGCATTCAACCTAATACTATACCATTCAAAAGTAAGTTATTTACTCCCCTTCCACGAGGTGTGAATTGTGGCATGCAAAAAAAACACACAAAAACAGGACTTCGATAAAATTTTTTCTTACATCCATTATTTCCCACATACCATCTGTCCACCTTTAAATTTTTAAGAAGTTTTTCCAGTAATGATTATTATTTCGTAAATTGAGCTCAACCTTAGTGTAGGAACTTGTTTAAATCACAAGTTACAACCTGGTAGTTTGCATGTTTTCAGTGACGAAGTTTTGACATAAATTTGCGATTTTACAGCAAGTAAACTGTAATACCCCCAGTAGCTGAGACCAGTTTCAAAATTGCTGTACAGACATGTATTTGATAAGATTTCTGGGGAATTTCGCGGTATTTTGTGTGTTTTTGTGAATTTCGCAGGATTTCGCAGATTTACCTGAATTTCACGGCTCCGCAACCGTGTGAAATATCAGAAGCCCTGATTTATTGTGACTGAGTCTGTACAGCAATTTTGAAACTGGTCTCAGCTACTGGGGGTATTACAGTTTACTTGCTGTAAAATCGCAAATTTATGTCAAAACTTCGTCACTGAAACATGCAAACTACCAGGTATAGAATATGTTGCGAAAAACTGGGCACTAGCCATGATGTTAAAGGCTTTGACATTGTTTCATTTCTGGAGCGAATTGTTTTTGAAAGAGCAAATGATGACCTCTGTTAGAAAGACATTAAAAACCCTGGTCTGATCAGCGCAAAACCTATCGATTTCTAGCGAAATTTGCCCTGAAAATAACCACAAAATCCGCTGTTTTTTTACCGATTGCTTTCAGCCAAGTTTACCCCGAAAATTCCCGCGAAATTGGCTGATTTTTCCGCGATTTTGTCCCTAAAAATCCAACGAAATTTGACTTTTTTTCCGCGACCTATCAGACGCTCTGATAAATGCACTATAAATACAGTGTAGAGCTGGCAACATTCATTTGTTGTGAAGTATATATGAAATAATTCATTTTTGAACTGCGGTTTTAGATGAAAGTGAAGAATGATCATAGCAGTAAATTTTCCAATTTAAGCAATTGGAAAGAAGAAGCCTGAAAAAAAATCAGGGCTTCAACGGGATTCGAACCCGTGACCTCTCCGTTACCGGTGCGTTGCTCAACTGAGCTATGAAGCCACACATTGGGAGCAAGGTCAATTTATTTATATTATATTATATTATTTATATTATTGTGTCTGCATAAACATAGATTATTTGTCATGACACATTCTAAAAGTATTATTTTTAGCTTGACCACAAAAGTCATAAGTTAGCATAATTCATTGCTTGTTGTAGTAAAGCTGCGATATAAAACACTAAAAAGCCAGGTCTCATTAAATTTTGAATAATAACAATAATATTATCAAATTAACAGCATTAGAGAATTATCAATGGGCACTGGATATTATGGATTTCATAGGCCTTGCTCTTTTTTTATTTATAATGTAGATATATTGTATAAAATAAATGATGGATATGCTTGGCTACAGTGAAATTTAGGTGATTATATGTATATGTAGTTATACAACCTATTAAAATTATCTCTGTAAGCTCAGAATTGATTCGAAACATGTTATTCTTACACTCAGCTTGGTGAAAATTTTTAAACTGAAGTGGGGTTTTGCATGATCCCTTACCTTGTCCCCATGACTGCTAAGAGTTTCAAAAACTTTTCTTTTGTTTATACAAGTAATCCCAAATTTTGAACTCTTAAACATCCAAATTTAAGCCTCGCTTTGGTGACCTTGGTTTTCACAGCAGTGAAATTTTTGTTGAGAGAAAAACTATTCTTCTTGACTTGTTTCATCACAATAATTATCCAATTCTGCAAATCCAATAAGCTTTTTTAGCCTGATTTAGAATTAGTGTAGTCATGGTAGTGAAAATGACAAACCACACCGCAAAGTTCACACTTCATTGATTATGACAATGAATTAGACTAATTTGAATTGGTAATGGGATTGCTCCAAATCTGAAGAGAAAAGTGACAACAAAAGATACAATACAAAGCATAGAAAGCAAGCAGTACTGAGAAAAAAGACAATAGACGAAGTAAAAGGGGTTCAATTTCATTTAACACAAAAGCAGTTGACCAATGCTTCAGGCAATATAAGGGAAATAGATTGTTTACTTGAAATGAGGTTGAAAAGAACATTTGAACTATTACATAGCTCATCCCATTAGAAATAGCAACAGTTGTTCAAAAGCCAAACCACATCAGCCTTCAAATGTTTAAATAATCTTGAATACACATTAAATAGAGTGATAAGGACTTTAAAGACAGTGATTGCTAATCATGTAATTTAAGTTTAAAATTATTGTAGAACTGCTTTTTTAATATCGGCTAAACAATAAAGACAAAAGAATAGTGTGATATGACTCATTTTTCATTGCTTTTTTTAAAATTAATTTTCTTAAATAAAATTAATGTCTTCCAGTCCGCATGTTGCTATTACACCTTGATTTTGATAAAATTTGTGCACTAAATGCTAGTTTGAGAAGCCTACTACATTATTTCTCTTGAACAGTCTAGATAAAACGTCTTATACATGGGCAATGCACTGACTTCCTATTCAGGGGTGGATCCAGGATTTTTTTTAGGAGGGGGTGCACTCGTCTCTTGCTCTACTTCAATACCAATAAACCACATAGTTTTTTTTTCTTTTTTTTTTTTCTTTGCAGAATACCAGTTGTATTAGAAAACCGCAGGTCATCTTGGTCAACCCTTCCCCTAGATCCGCCCCTGCTATTGCACCCATCCCCATTAATGCAGAACTGCCACCTTTGAAAATTGTTTATCTACACTGTAACAGACAACAAATAAATAACAAAAAAATTCAAACGACAGAAGCTAAAAAAAAGGAACTTTCTGATAATTTCACAAAATTTAATAATGGTAAGAACAATAGTTGTTTGGGCATTTTAATTTATCTTATTACATTATTGAATTATAGTGCAAACTAAGACAAACAACTCATGCAAACAGTGATCAAGTGAATTTATAATAGAAAAAAGGGATCTTATGTAATTTGTGCACCCCTTGGTGGAGTATTGGTCGACACTATCGGCCGATGTGTCAGCCAACTCTCAGTTAACGGAGAGTTGGCCAACATCTCGACCAACAGATCAGCTGATAGTGTTGGTGGTATGTTGGCCAATAGTCAGCTGACTTATCTATCGATTGCCTACCGACATTTGACCGATACTTCACTGATACTTAGTCGACGGTATATTTTTGTCTACTCAAATTTTTGTTGTTACTTGTCCACGCAGCAATTTTTAAGGGGCTTTGGTGGCTTTCACCAGCCTAATGTGAGAGTATCAAGTGTGTGTGCGATTTTTTTTGGAAAAAATTGGGGCCATTATGGCATTGCCTTTGAGAGGTATTCAACGACAATCTAACATTACAACATGTGTAGAACAACAGCAGAAATCCAACAAGTTGACGTGGCAAGGGATGGCACAAACAACAGAAAGGAAACTATTTTCAAACCCCCGAACCACAATATCTTGCACGTAACACTGAAACCCAACTCCCCAGTTTATATTTTCAAAGACATATTATATTATATGACAGTCAACCGATATGACACTGATAGTCAACCGATGTTCCACAGACAGTCTACTGATATTCCACCGACAATTGACACTCCCTGTATTGGCTGAGGGTCGACCGGTATACTTGCCATGTATCGGCCAACATGTCGACTTGCAGTTGAGTGTAGGCCGATACACTAGCTGCAATATCGGTGAAGTGTTAGACCAACATATGGATTGACACGTTGACCGACAGTCAACCGATATGGCGATCGAGAGTCCATGGACATATGATCCGATAGTGTCAACCGATACTTGATCGAGGGGTGCACAAATTACACAAGATATAAGCAATAGTTCTGGGATGGGATATCAGCTGCCTGCTTACCACTAGCTCAAATGCTCTGGAGCTAAGTCTAATAATAATGTTTGCTTAGACACATTATTATTAGTAAGCTGTGAATGTTACACAGCTACAAAGTTCTTTAATTTGCTTCTATTTTCATTTTGCTTCTGAGAGAAGCCGGCCCAGGTCATGCTTGTGCCAAACCTAAGGTACAGCTGCCCTGCATATACACCCAGAAAAATAAAACAAATCATGACTGTTTTCCAAGGGTGTAGTTGGAATAACAACCTCTTTCATCTACGAGTTTTCTGCTTATTGCAATATGGTTATAATTTAAGGTTGTGTAAATAAATCTACGAAGTCTCTGTCCAAAATATCTGTATGTGGCCTGAAGAGGAAATAAAATGCTCAAGAACTTACCCTTGAAGAGTTGCAACATCTGAGAGGGTAGAATTATTACTTAATGCAGCAGATTTCTAAGATTAAACAAAAACATTTACAATATTGTTAACAACCAGTAAAAAAAGGAAAAGTTTTCACTGGAGGCCATGCAAGAGCAGTCATCCCAGAGGTCAATACAAATTTTTTTGTATATTTTGGTTTTTGTACATTTGCTTGAAAACAAACCGGTTCAGTTCAAAATTGAAAGAAACAACAACAACAACAACAACAACAAATTTTATTGAAAATTGGAAAATAACTAATTACATTACTTTCCCACCCGCAAATAGCTTATGAACTAATCGAGGCGGGGGGAGCTGAACACAATTTACAAACAAGAGATTTATATATAGATGGACTAAATAACAGTGAAGACACTACAATACAGTAAATAGAATTTAAACTAACATAAAACAAGGCATGTACATAACGATTACGAAGAGAAAAGTAGTTATGAGTCTTGTCCTCCTGATGCCTACGTAATGCAAACCCAACATGTACTGTACATCATCCTCTTG